AACAGTTCAAAGAGAGGATTATTTCTTCCCTGAGTTAACTTTTAAAAGCATCTAGAAAGAGCATCAGAATAGTGAAGTCTATTTTTGCACTCTTGAGCTGACTTAGCTGAAGCGTTACCTATGCTACACTTCATTGACTGCTTCAGCAGTGCTACTCATTATGGGTATGATATTTCTTTCCCTTCCCCAACAAGCCTCTTATCCTAAGAAAAACTCTAGTATATATACTTTCCTACCCACAAAAGTGTCTTTTTTTTCCTTCTTCTCTTCTCTTCTGAATGTTAGTGCCCCAATGCAGGTAACTTTAACTCATGGGGACTCGAGAGTGTTCTCTTCAAAGCAAACAGATGGATGTTGTAAGGCTTAGCTGATCACTGAATCCTTTGAGACGTTCACATACAGAAGTATAAAGGGAACTTCCTGTTCACACTTTCGTGACTGACCATTGATTAAAATCCAAAACAACCAAGGGAAGAAAAAAAAGATCTGTTTTTTTCCGCTGCAGATTATTCTCACATAGAGTAGAGTACAAGACTGAGGGAGGCTGATAGGTGTGGGGGGGCGGGGGGAAAGTGCTGGCAAAAATTTAAAGGTTATACTGTGATTTTCACCACATGCAGAAGTAGTGCAGATTGTGGGCTGCCTCTGGATTGTTAACAGCTGGTTTGTTGCAGCTCTGCTACGTAGTCCTTGTTTCATCCCTCACCGTGTCTAAACAAAAACAATGACAGCTACATGAGCAGTATTTCTGAACAGTGAAACACAAGCTTGCAAGCTAATGTTCAGCAGTTCTGGCCTTGACTGATCTCTCCCACTATTTTTTTCAGTCTTGAGCACTATGATAAACAGTAAAGTCAAAATTTACCAGGCAAGTCATCAGTGCTTCTCAAGGAAGTTCAGACTCTGTTCTAGCTAACAGTGAGGGCTGATCTGCCCTACTCATATCCAAAACTCTAGTCACTGATCATTTACTATAGCATGGATCTGATCCAGTGGCTTTTCAAGCAGTTGACAAATTAAATTTATATCATTAATATTTCGTGCAACAAATGTCTAGTCATCTATCTTGTTTGGCTATCTTACCTTTTTTTTTTCCTTTTACAAATGGAATTTGCTCATTTACACAAAAAGGCTGTTATAAATCACTGTTTGTCCGCTCTGAATAAAATTGCAAAAGGGTCAGCCAGTCTCGCATGGTCAAACTTAACTTTGACTTGAACTGAATGAGATGCAAAAGAAGAAGCTGCTTTTTCAAAAGAACTCATGAAAATATTAATTAAAATGTACTGACTGAGAAACAGATCGATTTAATAAATATTGGTTTCCCATAGCATTCATCCTTAACCTGTAGTTTTTGTTGAGGAAATAGCTAACTGCAAATGCAATTTTTCCATAAAGAGGAGAACATTACAAATAGTGTACTGTTCAGCGTCATCAGTGGTCAAAATTTTTCAAGTGTAGTCTCTATTTTGAATTTGTGTAAACATTAAAATGGAAAGGGAGACCCATATGATTATGCAGAAGACTGGAACAGAACAGCTCCCTCCTATGCACTTGAACTTGATGACTAAGGTTAGGTCAGCCTTTTTATGTCTCTGCACGTCTTTCTTTTACCTAAAAACGAGATAGAAATTTTTCCTCACCTTGCGTACAGCATGTACATTGTAGGAGGAAATAGTAAGCTCCCAAATGCTCTTGGGCTGCATTTAGATTTATGATTTTGGTGGATTTGATATATTGTGTGAGATTACCCTTGTCCCTTGTCTTTGCCTAATTTAAGCAAATGCTGGATTTCTGAATATGTACAGCTTAATGTTGGCCTTAATGTACCCAAGACTATATCAGTGATGGCTCTGTCATCAAGATAAGGGATCATTCCACTGTTAAGCATTCATATTGTTTAATCTCTTGTAATCTAGATCACAGTCAGTGGTGAATATGCTTTTAACAAGTAATGAAAGGAGATAAGGTAATTCCGGTAGATGGAGTGCAATATTCAAGGCGTTCTACCAAATCGCACCTGGTATACTGCATCAAATTCAGATTACTTGCATTCAGAAAAGACCTATTCAAATCAGAAGAGTTGCAGAAGATAATGATTAAGATAATCAGAGATCTGAAGGTGAAAATAGGTGGAGTTAAGAAAACCATTACATAACAAAAAGCGTAAAGGTATAGCCTTGGGTCCCTCAAAATTTCGTTTTTGGCCATTTTACTCCTGGTAATCTCTGATCCTTCAACTGCCATTTTCCATAATTCAGCCAACTTTCCTATAGAAACAAAGCCAATTATTCTGTCAGTTCCTTGCAAATTTACGAACCACTATCATGTGGATCGTAATTAGCTAAGGGGTGAAAGCGTCTCAGAGAGAGAGTCCCCACAGATATTGAGAAAATGGGTAGCTATGTGGAGAAAGAAAATAAAAGTGCCTTGTCTACAACACAAGCTGCAGTTTCTGCTTACTACAGTGATCTTCTGGCACGCACATAGCTCCAAACTAGCACTGAGGCATTCTTCGCCTTCACAGCTGGCAGTTTAAGGGACATGAGATGAAACAGAGCTCGGGATATTATTAAGCAGTGGAAAGGAGCAGATCAGGAGTGGGACTAGAAAGTACTGGAAGATCTGCCTAGATCTCAGGGAATACAGGATGGGGATCTAGGGAAATGGAAGATGCGTAGTGATAGTAAATGCAAATTCATGGGAAAAGAGGACTCATTTCTTCTTCCGCCCTAAAGACATCTTCTCCCTTTGTTGAAGGTTTGAGGAAGAAGATTATATCACTACTAGTCTTTCAGATTTATAGTTTCCAAATATTTGGTGGAGAAATTACCCTTCAATTACAATTTTCCCTTGAGATTTCATTTTTTCTCCAGCTTCACACAATTCTGCCAGCAAATCCTCCCGTGTCTGTTATTCTCTATCCAAAACATTTATTTAAAGACTCTCAAAAGGAATGTAGTGAAATTCTGAACTGAATTTCAGATTCTATTACTACATTACTGCTTCTCTGCATGTACTCAGAGCAAACACAGCTGGCTTGCATTATGAGATTAAAATGCTATTTAATCCTTTAGCCAAGCAAGCTTTATTTTAAGTCCATGACAGAGAAAGGAAATGTTTGCCAGTGAGTTCAAAATGGACCGTTAGTTAAAAATGCATATCCGTCTGCAACAAATGCTGTGGAATGGAAAGCATCAAATATATGAAGACCCACAGGAAACCTACAAGATTTTTCAAATTTTCCAGGATGCTTCAGGGACAAGGAAAAGCTAGCTTCAGCCTGCAGCAAGGAAAAAATTCTTCCCCAGAGATAAAAAGTGCATAGAGGTCTCAGGAGACAAAACAAAATCTGCTACCAAGTGCTCATAAGAAGGCCCTGTTTCCAGCCCTTTTAGGGCTACCCAAATGAAAGGTTGAGCAGAGAGGTGCATTATTTAGTGTGTATTACATTAGCTTTGCCACAACAGATCAAGCCTTAAGGTTTTAGGATTTTTTAACTTTTTTTTTAACCTACGCTCTAATGCTTAATAACTATTTGGGAAGTGAGTTCCACAGCCACAGTAAATGAAAATGTCATAGTAAATGAAACATAACTCTTTTCAGATCATTTTGCAATTTGCCACAGCCAAGTGTTCCCTTTCCTTGTGTCTTTTCCTAGAGCAAAAACTCTCCTCATTTCTCCTCCTATGAGGTAGGTTCCATGCTTTAGGAATTGGTACTAAGATCCTAATGCCAACAGGGGAAGGTGTTACGGCTGCAAGTGGCCCTCGTAGGATGAGCTGACATGAGCCTACTTCTCGCAGCTCTGTTTAGGTAATGAGATAGCACTGGAGTTTTGAGGCTGCTAGATTTGTCCAAATCAAACAAAGAAACAATATGGGAATAAGAAACAGATGAACGTTTGTGAGAGAGAAGAGTCCATATTAGGCCCCAGTCATAACCTTGATGGAGTTTGCTAGTTTGGTCCTGTGGCTATGTAGGATCAGTGTACAGGTATTAAAATAGTCACACAATGAGCAGCAACCACCTTTCAGGACTGACGTAAGATTGCCTTCAAAGAACACAGCTCCTGCAGCTTAGCTCATATTTCCTTAAGGCTTACTTTTGGTAACACTGCTCCCATAGATAAATTTGCAAAATAAAGCTGGGACACAAGACTGCATTTTCCTCTGTGATGCATATTTTTTCACCCACAAATCTTGGTAATTTAATTTAAAAATTAAACCGTGTTCCTTCTCTCTCTTGCTAATCCTCTATGTGGAAAAGGGAATACCCCATTCAACCTGGTATGCTTATCTTCCTAAAATTTATTAATAGTGTGAGGTATTCGTAAAAAATGTGTCTTTTTCGATATCAGCGTCATTACCTTTACTAATCAAAATGATCGTTGTAAAGGTAATAAAATGACTGTGCAATTAGCACTTAAGCTCCTAAAGATCTGTTGATTACAAGAGAAAATCCAAATTTCTCTGTCTGAAGTATACTTCAGATAAACTTTCGGCTTCAAGTTTAGGAATCGGGGACATGACACAGTCAAACACTCACACTAGGCACAGCAAAAAATCTCTGCATTCTTTTTTCTTTATATGGCCTTCCTTGGGGATGTTTTTCCAAGTATATGTCTTCATCAAAAGCCAATTCTCCTACATATGTCCATGCCAGGGCTTTCTGCCTGGTTCTCTGATGAAAGCTCCTGTAGGAGTCCACCGGATCCACCTCACTATGGCAATTGCTATGAGTGGTGCCTGCGGTTTTTGTTTTGTACTTGTGTACAGTTCCAGCAAGAGAAATTGCCCTAACAATACTAATGCCCTACCACACAGCAGGAGTCTGCTTTAATTTGTTTTCAAATTGCCAAGAAAGAAAATGTTTCATGAAACTTTGGAACTAGGACAGAGTGGTAAGTGGGCCTGGAATGAAATGAGATGATATTTTCAAGTCTGTTTCCTTCTTGCACCACTGACTTTCTTGAGCTTTGTGGAAGTCTCAGAACTTACCAGGACTCAGAGGAGGAGGATTTCTGTGGGTCCTCATGAAGGCAGAAGTTGCTTGTGTCGGCTGAATGCCGTTAAGAGTTCTGAAAATCAAGGGTAAAAAATGTGCACAGAAAGCAAAATAATGTAACAAACAAATAGCTCTGCAAACTGAAACAATCCCCTAGGCACAAATTCAACCGTTCACTAACCAAATTTTGCTGAATCTCTTTGCTCTGCATGCATTGCCTCATATTCACTCTTTTTTTTTTTTCCAGTGCTCTCTGTGGAAGCCTTCATATACAACCCATTGCTGATCTCATTGCAAAATGGAGAAATTGGTGTTTTTCACTGGGATGCATTACATGAGCTATTGAGTATTTTTAACATTCCACATTAAAAATTCACACAAACTCTCACACATTTAATATTGTAGGCCTTCAATATTTGCTCAGTGGTTTCATATTAAAGGTATTGGAGCACTGGGTCTATAATTTTACAGCGTGGCCACTCTACTCTTGAGTTTTGTCTCCTTTTCTATTTATGTCTCCAGCTAAGGCTTTGGATTTTATAGAAGAAATTCTTCCTAAAAAACCTTCATTTCTAGTTCAGTAACATTCTTTAGCAGATTTATTTCATCTTCAATTCTGTCTCTGACTTCCCCTAATACAAAACATATTTCAGAAAGTAATTGGAAAGACAAAACATGCAATTACTAATAGTGGGTGTTCCCTGAACGCCCACGTACATAATAAATGGCAGATTTTTTGCATTGTTTGCTTGTTTCACTTCTCCTTTAATTGTTGCTGATAGATTTGAATGTTTCTTCAGAAGTAATAGCTGGCAATTATTCCATGCTGCTGTACTAATTAAAGAAAAGTATTGTTGATTGCCAAATTAACCATTGCAGATTTACAGGGTACTTTGGAACCAAAAGGTATTACATATAACAGGTCTTTCATTTAGTCTCCTGGACGCAGTTTTATTGCTTACTGGTGCTACAGTGAACTTGCAGACATTTCCCCCTTAGACTAGGTTTTTTTTTTTTTTTTTCTGGAATAGTCTAACAGATAATTCTTAAGTTTCATTAGCATATGGATACTGAAAAGTTATTCCTCAAACTTGATCCTCATTCTTAGATCTGGATCACTTATAGCTGTCATTTTAACTTGCATTACTTCTTGCAGAGAAGTTATATGATGAGTGCATTGGCATCTTCTTGATTTTTATTCCATTTAGAATTATTCCTTGGGCTAAAATTCCTACTAGCAGTTTTTCACCTCCTCTATGGTATTAGTCCAAAAATTCTGGTCAGTCAACTAGTTTGTTCCTTAGATTTGACTTTTCAGAGGTGACAGAGAGAAAATTTCAATTTATTACCTTGATCTTGAATAAAAGCTACTCTTAATCATATGTTTACTTAAAGTCTCTTACTCATTCTTTCCTTGCAATTCACCTTCATCATTTCAATAGGTTGTTACTTTTCCTCTTTGTACAAAAAGGCACACTTTTTCCCCACTTGTTTTGTCTCTGTCACAGTTCCTTGATCCAATTTCTGCTTTTTTTGTTTGCTTCTTGAAACAGGTTTGGAGACTGATAAATTTTTTCTCCAAGGGGGCTGAAACAGGACTCACCCCAGCACTTGGGAAATGAGTCCTGTATTGCTGTTCTGGTTGGTCTAAGTACTTCTGGTCAGACAAAATCATCCTTATTCAGTAAAACATTTTAAGAATAGTGTTTAGCAACCAGCTCTTCCAAAAGACCTATGCTGTGTAGAAGCAGAAGAGCTATTGAGAACACATAGCCACTTTAAAAAACCTACCAAAACACCTGTTCTTTTAAGTGCAAAGTTGTTCCATCTTTCTCAGAATATAACTGTCATGATGTGCTGCTACAAAACCGATCAGCATTCTGTTAAATGTGCCTTAGGGTCACGCTTTAGCTCTAACGGAGTTTACTCTTATACTGCATTACACCTTGCAGATAATCCAGCCAAATTAATGTTGTTTTCACGATCTCTCTCTTTGATGCCACAATAGTGTCCTTTGACTGTGGTCACATTAAACTGTTTTTCTTCTCAATTATGAGTAAAAACAGATATAATATGAGATAAAATTATAATTAGCATCCTGTCAAATGTAAACCATGGAGAGCAACTTATATGCAGTAAAATACATTGAGGTTTGTAAGTACTGGATTATAATGTAGTACATTACATTTAAACCCTGCTACTATGCACATCATGTATGCAGATGGAGCCTATGCATCAGAACGATTTAGTTACATTCTGCAGCAATGCTGTTAATTTTCTGTGTCATGGAAAAAATTGGTTGTTTAGCAAATGGTAAATTCATAGAGAATTTGCGACACCAGTATGAAACTCCTAGGGAAGCATTTGGAAAATATTCATCAAGGATATTTTCTCTCTTGCATTTTTGTTGCTGCTTAAATATCCTTTTGCTGTTTAATTCCGTTACGGATGCTCTCCAAATTCAGAAGACTGGCTTTGGGACTTGTATGATAGGCCTCCTAACCTAAACAACAGTCCACATCATTTTTGCTTTTTAGAAACAGTAAAGATGCAAGAGCTCTTCACAGTGAAGAGGGATTAAAAAAAAAAAAAAGGCAATACTTGTTAGTTCATTAGAAAATGCACTGAGGCCAAAGCCTAAAGGGGTGTCTTGACTAGGGTCTTATGGGCTAAGTGTCATGGCTAGAAGTCCTTTTGTGACCAAACGGCATCACAGGCATCACACTCCTGCATTGGGAAGAGACGTAGTGCACAACATCCATTTTCTTCAAAAACAACATAATGACCTCATTCCCCGTAGCCAGTGAAAACACTGGCTTTGCTGGAGGTGCTGTACTGACAGAAACAACTTCCAGATAAAAGCAGTGGGCACCAGGGGACTTCTCTGGCTCCCCTTCTCCAGTCCTTCATGCACAAGGACTTTCCTTCACCACAGAGACTTTTTAAACCTTTTCCCAAACCACCCTCACTCAGGACTCTATCCCTGTACTGAGGCGATATGAGTAGTCTCTCACGGACCCCTGAGATGCTGTACATAGAGTTACACCTCTTACACAGCATTTACAGGAAACTATATTGGTTTCACCACTCAAGAAGTAGGGCACATGATAGATAAGGATGTAATAGAAATTGCTAAGGTGTGATCCACGTCTTATTTTTGGAAGTTTGTTCACAAAATGCTGTATTGATTGTAAGAAAAGAAAACAGAACAATCTTCACAGCAAGAGCAAAACCCACCATGAAACCATTCACTCAGCGGCAAACAACATCAGCTGTTTTCCCATTGTTTTATGATATTGATTCTTAGATTGGAGGCAGGAAAGCACATACTAAGCTTTCCTCACTCTCACCCTTTGTGAGATTGTGTAGTCTATTGCATTATCTAGTATGAAGTTTTTTAGCACAAAATCAGGTTTCTGCTCTCTGGAGTTCTTGCAAATACATTATTCCCAGTAGTCCGACCTGGGCAGTGAAGAAGAAGCTATTGTCTGTGCCCTGAAATGCAACTATTGTGTATTACAAATTCTTTTACAATTAATTTCAAAGTCTTATCAGCAAGCGTATGTCCTCCTACAGCAATGCTCATACCTGCATTAGTGTATTTGCCACAACTGGAGTCGTCAGTTGGGTCAGATAAACAATAGTTCTTTTGTCTCTCTCTATTTGCTCACCTTGTACAATGGAATTGTTGGTGCAAATGCTGATATACCGATGTACACATCACTCATTTGTCTATATGAATGTATATACATCATCACTTAGAACTCAGCTCATGGACTATTTGTGGTGTCATGCTGTCAAATGGCCTGATAACCATTCAGCTTATGGAATAAACTCCTGGAAATGGAAAGGAAGAGTGGTTTGTAGTCTTTGCATGGCTTCAGCACAGTCTTTTTTTGCCACAAGGATAATAAAACCGTGGTACAGAAAAAGTTACTGGCTGTAACAAGAAATTAAGCATACTCACCACTTTTGCACACTTCTGCTCACTGTGATGCCTGTGAACATCAGTATTTCCTTACAGCATCTCAGACATGATGAGAAACTGGGGAATAAACAAGTAAATCAGGTAAGTTAAAAAGATACAAAGTGTCTGGAAAATAGCTGTCCAAACCTCCCTTACTGGAAATAGAAGGGGATCTTTCCTGTCCTGAAAGTGTGACTGGGCCAGGGAGGAAAGCTACGTGTTTCTTGCCTGACAGAGTGCTCTGGGCAGGTGAAAGCTTTGTGGAGGGGTAGAAGACTGTGCTTTCCCTGAGTGCAACTGCACAAGTCCGCAAGAAGATCAGAGAAAGTTGCTCCACCTCAGAGCTCTGCTTGACATGGGTTCAGTCATGGTTGCATATATCATATTTTCTTCCTAGGTAAATCGCATGAGAGCCTAGGAAAGAACTTCAGACGCTATTGTGTGCATATTGTGAGACACACAGTCTCTCATAGTTAAACAGGTAGGGAAGTAAACCTTATCCTCTGTGGCAGCCACATCTACTGCTGTTAGCAGATATCTGCACACTCAAATGGGAAATTTGGTCATTAAATATGCTTTCCAGAGACTCATGAACATACAGTAGTCCATAATCTGCTGCTTATGACACACATCAGAAACCCGTGATCTGGCATACGTCTGCAGCACTTACAATAGCTTTAAATCATATTTACCTTTACCAAGTTGGTCAAATAATGTGAGATTGCAGAAAGATATACAACTTAGGAGTCAATACCCTTTCTTTCTTGTAGTACTGGTCTGCACTCATAGGTTTGTCCAGGATTTCCTAACTTATTTGGTTCCAAGTCCTTATATGGAGGGGGCTAATCCAGATGCCCTATAGTCTTGAAGACCTTAAGCCGTGCTCCTAGTGCACAAGCTTGGCTGCTACAAGTTGGTTGGGCGTATTCCTGTATGAAGTCATGGACAGTTATGTTACAGCTTCCTTTTTCCTCTCCACCATTCACATAGGTACTTCTTCTCTTTTACTACTCAGCTCTGCCTTTCCTGGAAGGAAAATCCCAGTTTTGAATGATCCTCATTATCATTACTTTAATATTTGCTCCTTTCACAACAGAACCATAAGT